CATAACTTTCGAGGATACTTGAACAGGGCCATCCTCTATTCTCTCCTCTTCCAGTTGGTCGGAAGCGGAGGACTCTTGCAAAGCGGCGAGACAAGATGCAATAGGAGTAGCAGTCTCGGCTGAAGTTCTGGTATGTTCGGAAGAAAAGAAGATACCACAAGTAATAAGTAAACGACTAAGTTCATCAGCAGATGAATTTTTCAACAACAGCAATTTTCTCAAAAGCTAGCGTAATATCCATCCTATCAAAAAGAACTTGCACATCTTCGAAAGTGTTTAGCATACTTCTCAAAGCTAAACGCTCAACGCTCGTAGCATAGGTTGTCTCGCAACCAAGAGATAGCAGATTCACTATCCCTTACAATCGCCAAGGAAGAGGAGTCCTTCGATTGGCCCCGGCCCCTAAATAGCACACTAGTGTAATCTCACACACGAAGCATGCCGATACTACCTCCTGCTGGTGTGGCTGAGTTGGCCAACGAACCGGTGGAGGATGTTCCCCATTAGATGATATAACCTTACTAGGACCACCAGCATCAATTACTATCTGGTGACCAGATTCTGGTCTACCCACTCCTAAGTAAGATATACTCACTACAATCTACGTTGCCGCCGCCGAGCTCACCACTGTAGGTGGGGCCTCTCTAAGATGGTCAGTGACCATAACCCCCAGGGAGATGGCTGGTGTAGCGGCTGTTGGTACACTGTCTGCCTCAAGCTTTTCTTCCTTCTCAATAACAGCAGGTAGAGGCTCAACACCCTCCTGTTTTTGCATCTCAATCTTTGTATTCGTCCATTCGCCACTCTCGTCCTACACCAGTACTAGTTCAACACAAATTCAACTAGAAGCAGCGTACAAGGTTAAATCCTATCCTAGACTTCCTCACCGCACCGGCAACATGCACAGTAGGGTCGAAAAAGCGATCACAAGTAGCACCAGAGCGAGTCTTGCCTAGAGAAGAGGATATCCAACCCATCGCAGGTCACCACCCTCCCCCAGCTTCATCCTACTGCCCAATGTGTCCTCAGCCTTAGCCTTACTCCTACGCATCATATCCAATACCGCCCAATTCCCATGAGATGACACATTTGTTGTTTAGCTCTCCCATTATATTGCGGAACATGGTGGAGGTTTAGCATCTCCATCGCTCCGACATTATCTATTGAAAGCATTCACAACTGCGCATCCCATCTGAAGGCTCACTGTGACGGGTTTATATTGTATGTGGATGGGCAGGCGTTCATTGCGCGTTTGCATATATGCATGTGGTATTGGTAAAGCAGCTCCTCCGGGACCGGGTGAAACTGGGATTCGTACATCTTTAGTACCGCTGACCTTTTCTTTGATAAGCAGCGAGTCACATCAGTGCTTGGTTATGATATTCCGACCGTACAGCGTTTAATTTCAAGGATCACAGACGTTCCAGTGGTTGCCGTGGTAATGGATGCAGCCAAAAGGTGCCTGACTGCCCTGCCGACCGTGTTTGGTCCCACTATTTT